GTGAGGAGATCCAGATTTTATGTACATATTAATATCTTGGAGTTACCATGGACTCTAGTTTATCTTAAAAAAAAAAGTAAAAAAATACAAAAATAATTAATATTTATAACTTCAGATAAATCATCATGTTGATAGAAACTTCTGTCCTTTTCTCGTAGTTTTTTTTCTCTAAAATCACAGTATTATTAGAGTTGAAAGTTTTAGACGATGTAAAATTGCCTGTTTGATATTATATAGATATTATATAGATATTATATAGATATTATAGATCTTAAATGGACTCCCACCCCCTCCTCTGGGGGAGTTTATAAAGCTAAAATCCAGCACTAGTGGAAACGTAACGAGCATCTAGAGTAGAATGTGTGATTCCTCAGAAACACGCATCATTTAGATAAGATCCATCATCAGTCAAAAAAATCTGCAACAACTCAACTACATTTAAGACCAGGTGGAAAAGACGACTCGACTAATGTCAGGTTAGCCTTATTCTATGCAGGGTTGTTCTACTGTCTTTATTCTATTGTTCAGATGACCGAAAAAATGTGATTGACAGGTGACCGTTGATATATGATTGTTCAGGCTGACGCAGAACTAATTGGCCTGCATAAGATGACAAGAAAAAAAAAATATTTTTTTTTTTTTTAAATAGACATTTTCTACATTTTGGGACAATATGGTCTGATAAAGAGAACATTTATATCCATGTTAAAGCCAGAATGATTTGACATTTAAAAATGATTTCCCTGCGACTTTAACAGAAAAACTACCACAATTTTAGTAGCAGCTAATATTCTAACATATATACCACATAAACCCTGAAGACTGGTGGTAAATAAAATATATTCTTTGAAACACTAAGACCTCTTGCAGCCAAACCTCTGAGGTGATCTGGTTTGTTTTTTCTTGTTCAGGCCAGAGCCATACCTGCTGGAGATTCCTCCAGTTGCTCTCAGCTGCTTCTGCCTAGAAATGGCTGCTTCCTGAGATGATCTTCAATGAAACTTTAACATCTACTCTGATGTTCAAATTCTCATTAGATAAAAACACCAGCAATGCATTTAGATCCAAAGTTCAAACACAACAGTTTATAATTTTAATATTATGTTTGCTCGTTGAAAGCTAACCGCAGCGTTACTCTCAGTGATAGTGCACTTTGAATATGTCGTGCTTTCCAGAGTTTTCTTCACAAACTGGTGGTGTCAGTGAAGTGAACAGCTTGAGCATCCAGACTGCTGATGGGGATCATTATTGAAGGGCTGGGGGTGTCTCCCTCAGAAACACAAGCATGATTGTGCGCAGGCGGAGACGAGTGGCCTCTCTCCATCACACCTGGGGCTGCTTCAGACAGCAGCCTGCTGGTGATGCAGGAAAACATGGCTGACAGCTGCAGGCGCACCTCTCTCTGCCAGCAGGCGTACACCAGAGGGTTTATCAGAGAGTTGAGGAGTCCCAGGAGCCACAGGTAGTTCTCCAGCACCTCCTTAAGAGCACACCTCCTACACAGAAGGTGAACAATGCACACCACAAAGAAAGGGCTCCAAAGCACCAGGAAACAGCCAACAAGCACCAGCACCGTCTTCAAGGCCTTAACGTGACTCCAGCTCCTCAGCAGGTGATGCTGCGGATGATGGTGGTACTGGGATGGTCCATGATGGCTGTCCTCAGCTCTGGAGCTCATTTGCCTTATCTGGGAGATCTGCTTGTGGTGGATGCAGGCAATCTTCAGGATGTCCAGGTACATGAAGATGAAGAGGGAGAGCAGGGGGAAGAACAGCGCGCAGTACAGAATGATGATGGTGATGTCATGGGTGACGTTAAAGAAAGCGCAGAAGCCATCGTAGGGTCCCGCCGCTTGCAGCTGGTGCACCATCACTGCAGACCAGAAGACATCAGATCATTTATACATTTAAGTTCTGAGTATTTATGTTCTATGATGCACACAATCAAAACAGAATCAAGTTTTTTTTTCTGGTTTGTCACTATCTTGGTTCTGTCTCCTTGAACCCCAGTGGGCCTCAGCAGATGGCCGCTCACACTGAGCCTGGTT